GATTGATTCAGTGACTGGGATAATTGGGATGGGAGTGTCAGAGACAGTGCGATTGGCACAGGACAGAGCGGAGTTTAGGGCTGTTGTACATTAGGGTCGCTGTGAGTCGCAGGCGACTCGACGGCACATAACAACAACAACAACACCTTTTCATTGCAAAATGAATCGTTTTACATTTTATTTCTTAATTTACCAATTGATACATATCTGAGTGATTTTTCCTTTTTAACTATTATGAATAGTATTACTGTAAACACTGATACACAAGTTTTTGTGTGGGTGGTGGTGGTTATGTGCTGTTGAGTCAATTCATGGCAACCCTGTGGACAGCGGCTCTGAACCTTACTTACCCTATCCTGAACCAATCTCACCATATCTTTAACACACCTGACCCTATTGCCACAGTCACTGTATTAGTTTATCTCATGCAGGGTCTTCCTCTCTGACTTTCCGCCTTGTTAGAAAAACCTAAGAGTGGAATTGCTGAGTCATGTGATAATCTTTGGAGGAACTTCCAGCTTGTTTTATTGCAAAGACTGTGCCTTTTTATTAAAAATGATTGCCATTTCACATTCTCACTATCAGTGTATGATAGTTTTCAGTTGCTTCTGTATGCTCACTTGTAGTTATTCCAAGTTTTGGGATTTAATAGCCATCAGTTGGTGTACAGTGGTATGTTACTGTGGTTTTGATTTTTCTTTTCCTGATGAGCTTGCTCTTAACGTTTATTATTACCCTTTAAAAAGCGCTCCAGCTTTTTTGCTCAAAAGACTGTGTATTTGTTTTTGGTATTATAAAATAGAAACATTGGCCACGTTATTCATTTCCCTAACATAAACTGACTTTTTGTGAAAATTGATGACTCTTATTGCTAATTTCAAACATAGCTTCTTAAATATTTACTAGTGCTCATCCTTAAACACATGTGTGCACACATTCCCCTAAAGCGGAGGTTAAAAATATTCCAGATGTCCAACATCTCCAAATGGCTTTATTACTCTGTCATCTCTGATATTATTCTTCCTCCACTCAGGCTTCTCACTGCCAACTTTATTTTCTTTGGGTTGTTATTTATTGGAAGGTCTCACAGAAACTCAGTAACTATCAGGGAAGTGGTTCATGTATTTCTAGATGGTGTAAGTCATTGCATGTGGCTGTATAGTTTGATGAACAGTGGCGCAGGTGCCTACAGACTGAGTGTGTCAGCTGTTGGAGCAGCTGGATCAGGTTAGATGCATTGTCTAAAGTGAAAAAGGACTAAATCTCCCGCGACATTCTTCTGTTTAGGATCTTGGGAATATAAATCACAACCGTAAGAGTAGTAGGGGCATCTGGATCAGACCTTCCGGTAGGGTGGGGCTTCAAGACATTTCTTTTTCCTCAGCGTAACAAATAACTCACTGTAGAATGGGATTTTAACCATAGGCTAGAATTGCAAAGAGATTGGGAGAGCCATATTCCTTAATTTACCATCTTTATATCCTTTTCACTAGTTCTTTTCTGTGCGTGTACAGAAACGTATGTCTTTTCTGGAGGGGAGACTGAAATGCCAAAATTGAAATAAATTTGTGTTACTTCTTTGGTTCTTTTCTATTTACCTCATTATCAGTACATGCAGATTTTGTTGATACATAGAAGTATATAATCAGTGGTATTGGTATTGGTCTGTAATAAAGTCCCTTGAAGAGTTAGATGTTACTTCTCACCAAGGTCCAATGTATTTTTTTAAGCACCATTGTCTGATAGTATGTTATTAACTGTTTGATATGCCTAATTTTTCAGTGTTTTGTGCATCATGTGTTGCTGGTTCTCATTTCAATATATCTGCCAAATTTCCAGCTAAAACTTTACATTTAATTGTTTTTTAATCAATTTGATAATTTAATTCTTTTTTTTTATGGATTGCTTTTTTTTATTATTTAATTCTAATTGATATAACATTATAGGTGGCAAGTAAGAATAATGTACATATTTTGCTATGCTATATTAACAGTGGCCATCATTCTGAAAATATTAAAACAGTATTTGCTTTAGTTTTCTGTTTTTAAATACTGTGGTATAGAAGTCATTAATAGAACTTAATCCCTTCAAAGTTTATTGGATATTTTATCATTAATATTATGCTTTCTTTCCAAGCAGTAGCCAGTGGTCTGTCAGTCTTTTTTTTTTTTTTTTTTTTTTTTTCTTTAGGCCTGTTGTACATATGAGTCACAAGTGACTCGACGGCACATAAAAACAATATATTCATATGCTTTTTGAGGGCTTTTCTTTGATTCATTTCATTTTACTTGACCTTGTCTCAAATAGTACCTTTTTGACCCTTTGTGTGAGTTTATTCATTTAACTTTAAAACTCTGCTACAGTTGAATATTAGAGCCTATTAGGATTACAGTCCTTCACTTACACACATTTATTACAAATCAAATGTCAGCAGTGTTATTACTGGTCCCCATTAAGAGGTCTAACACTGAACCTCACCCTGCGGTGTTCGTCATCATACTCATATGCTTCTCCATTGTAATGACATCATCTTTTCCTGGTTTGGCTCAAAGTCCACTAGTTCTGCCTGATGCATTTCATCAATTTCTTCTGCCTCCTTCCTCTCAGGTAGGAGTTTTTTCAGGAGAGAGAAAGCCATTCCCTGGAAAGGTAACCTTAAATTCGATGATCAGGCGCACTTTTTCATATGGTCTACAATAAATCAGTGTGCCTTCATTTAACACATTTGATATCCTTATGCTTTGCAGTCTAACCTAGATGAAAGGTGATGACTGTGTTTCAGTTGTCAAGAGGAGAAATTGACTTTTGGAAGCCACACAGTACTTCATCCAACTGTGTGTCCAGAAACATAAAAAGGTCTTCTCGTCTAGTAAAATCAGCATAATCATTCTGCTCTAAAACATTGATGAACTCTCCTGGCTCTGTCTTATTGACCATGTAACATTATCTTCTAACCATCTCTTCATGCCTTTGTCAATATGAAATTCTAGAATCTTTTTCGCTCAAACTATATTCCTCCCATAGCAGCTTTTACGTGTCTTTAGAGTTCATCTGTTCCCCATGGCATTGACACTCCATGCGCACAGATTGAATATCCTGAACCATTCCAAGTCCAATCTGATGAATTTTTATTTGCATTCTAGTACCTCAGCAATTAGGACAGCATTCTACTGCTCCTTTCTTAACCTCCTCGGCCTTAACATTTGTCACAAATCATATTCCTTTGCAGAGCTAGTTTTCTTGTTCCACCATTGTATAAATCTTTTAATGTTACTGAGAACTGATAACAGCATTTTTTTCTCTCCTTTCTCTCTTCCCCATATCAAAGATTTCCATAGGTGAGCCAAAACCACCACCTGCTCCTCCCTCTTACGGCCTGTTCTCCTTTATCATATAGTTCTCTTTTCTTTGCATCAGTAAACACTTCATATCCTTGGGAAATCTGTTCAAACTTCTTGCCTTCATTTGGATTCTCATCAGGGTAATAATTCAAGGCCAGTTTCCTGTAAGTTTTTTCAGGTCTTCCTGGGTGGCATTGGATTTGACCCCCAAAATAATCATAATAAGTGATTTCCTTCACCAGTTTCTATCACCACTGAGCTGGCCAAGGGTAGTGTGGGGGAGTGAGAAGGAGCACGTCACTGCACAGTTCAGGCCACTGCCCCTCCCTGGCCTCTCACAGAGCATTCTGGAAATTTCCCCTCAAACTGTATGTTTAATAAAACCATGGGTTTGATGTACTACTAGAGATGGGTTTTTTAAAAATATAATTCTTTTTAGTCTGTTACCTATTTGTGATACCTGATAAGCTGTCATTTAAAATACTGAGTACCTCGGTCTTCATTAACTTGGTGCATTTTTTAAATTATATCTATTTAGCTTCCATTTATATAACATTGAATTGTGGATCATTTGGAACATAGTGGTTCACTGGGTTAGTTCTTCCAAACATTGACACATTTCATTTTACAATATGAAAAAAAAAATCAAATTTACTATCTCTAACATTAGGAAAGTGTTAGAAAACTATCAGACTTACTGGTGAGGACAAGTTTTCCAGATTTTTAACTTAAAAGCTTGAACTTACTGGTTACCATCAGTAAAGGCAGGTATTTTCTTTGAAATTATAGGTTCATTTTCTTTTTCCAAGTACTCAAGTGGTAATAGTAACTATTACTGTAAGTATTTGGTTGCCACAATAATGAGGCAAGATTTTAAACCTGAGCTTTGAAATTCTGTGACTGCTCTAACTTTATTACTTGAAATAAGAACCATTACAAGCTATACATTTTTGTCAACAGGATACAAGTTTGTTTATTACAGTAGCGTAAAATTCTGATGCTCTCAGCAGTTCTCCGAAGGCATTTTTTGGGGAACTTTGGTTGTTGAAGAGTTTCCTCTGCAAAAACTGGTGTAGGCACTTGAAGCAATGGTACTTGGTAGCGGGCTGGCGAGTATGCTGGATGAGGCAGATTCATAGCCTAGTTTGTTCAGCTTCTGGAGTGTTGGTTGGGCAACAGCTGGTCAAGTGCTGCGCAGAGGAGTTGAACCTTTTCTGCTGGCCAGCGCCAGAGGCAAACATTGCTGATACTAGTGCATTTTGCTGTAGTAACAGTTTCACTAAATAAAGAAGTGGTACTAGATTAATCCAGCTACAGATCACCAGCTACCATGACCTTCTTTTGGTGATGTAAGCTCAGTTTTAGGCCATGATTTGGCATTTCTCCACAATCCAACCACTGTGCTGAATCCATCAGTTGTCGTAGAGGATCAAGCATATATCATTTGTTGCAGTGCAGTTGAAACGCAGACGGAACGCAGAGCAGACTTCCAAGCTTCAGTTGCTTTAGTTTTTGCTCAGTTTGTGCAGCTCCCGTTTGTGGAGCTTCTTTGTCTTCCCTACTTGCTCCAGAGTAGAGTGAGAGTGGAATTCTTCTGCAGCTTCTTGTGTCTTTTTGAGAGGGTTAGCTTTACTGCATCATTAAAGGCATTTTTAAGTGAAAAGGACTTTTCATTTGTCTTGTTTTTACTATGGCTGTGTGGGCTTGTGAAGAATACAGTGACTGGTATAATTTAGTTGCCGTATTCTTATTTGTGTTATGGTGCAAACAGGGGGTTTCCCACTGTGTTTGTTAAAGTTGCCATGGTGCAAAAAACAAATAGCATTATTATCAAAGTAGTTTTGGCTTCATTGATCCCCCTGAAAGAGTTTCATGTGACTCCCAAGAGTAATAATTCACAGACTATACTTTGCAAACCATTAAACATTTACATGCTGAAGTATAAAGGACAAGAATCACCCTTTGCTATCCTGACATCATCAGCCTTTTTTCTGCCTTTGAAAATGTCCTTGCTCTGTCCACACAAAAGTTCATATAGATGTCTGAGGACTTAGATTCTTCAGGAAGACCACGTTATGCAAATACAGGGTCTACCCTGTCATAAAAGTCTCCCATCTGTTAGAAGCCAACCTTGCTTATAGGAGTCACTCCGGGAATCTCTCAGCACCTGCATGTCATCACATACTTAAAAATGCAGATAGAATTTTCAGTCTAGCTGCTCTGAATCAAGCACTAGCACTTGTTTATTATAAACATCTTCACTTAGTAGTACACTTGACATTTTTATCAAGTTATCAAAAGAATAGAGTTAATAGAAACACATTCTTATGGAGAAGAAAATTCTGTTAACCTATAGTTACGGCTTATGAAGAAAGGTTCAGCTTTTCAAAAATTATCTTGTTTGATAGTAGCATGCTTACCCGACATTTTGGGGAGGAATCATTCATTAATCCTGTAACAATTTATTTGAATGGAGTAGAACAGGCATTGTGTATTTTTTTATTTGCATTATAGTGCAATAATTGTTAACAATATATGTTACCATAATGATGCACTAAATAAATCTTTTAAGGGGAGCATATAGAGCTGTTTTGAGTTCCAGAGAGATAAGAATAAAGTTCTAGAGAGATAAGAATAAAGATGACCAAATGTTAATATATTTTTGCATTAACTGTTTCCTTAGGAAAATGCTCAGCTGCTGCCCTTGATGTACTTGCAAATGTCTATCGTGATGAACTTTTGCCACATATTTTGCCCCTTTTGAAAGAATTGCTTTTTCATCATGAATGGGTTGTTAAAGAATCTGGCATCTTGGTTTTAGGAGCAATTGCTGAAGGTAAGTCTAAATCATGTTTGAATCCTAAAGTGTTAGGGAGTGATATGGGTGTCACATTAAGGGAGTGTTGCTCTCTCAGTGAAGATTATTCAGTGTTGCGTTCACATTTTCTTGCTCATGATGACAGTGTAAAATAGACAGTCTGTGATTGACTTTATAAGAAATGTTTTAATACAGAATGAATTTTTCTACTTTGAAATCAGTTGTTACCTCCTTTCAAGTCAAAACTTGTTTGTAGCTGACCCAGAGCATGTAACTGTGAGATTTGCATACACATCCATCGCTTGGTGCACAGCAGCTAGTAGATTCAAACTATTGGCCTTTGTGTTGGCACTGCACCTCCTTACCATCAGGTCACCAGTTAACTGTTCTTAACTAAATAGCGGTCAACTGGTATTTTACAAACGCTTTCTGTTAAAATTAACAAAATAAGAAAACTCTCTCCTGAGCATATGAAAACAGTTTATGTTCCATTGTTAAGTCTCAGGAACATAATAAACCAGAAATGTCTTCCTTCTCTATAAAGAATAGTCTCTCTTGTTAACCATTCCTGTAAACATCTCTCTCAAAGAAACAAATGATTTATTGGTATTGAATTAATGGAACTCCATAAATTTCTGTGACAGAAGTAAAATGCTTAACCCAAGTGGAAGATAACTAGAAACAATTAGCTCTATGTTCAGTGGTTTATAAATTTTAAGCACAGGACTGTTTATTGCAAAGGAAATTATCTGAATATGTTTCTAATGTCTATGTTTACTATTCAACTGAAATTTTGTTTTAACCTCATTTTAGCACTTTTTAAAAGATTTATTAGGGTGTTGTGTTTTTTTTTTCTAGGTTGCATGCAGGGCATGATTCCATACCTGCCGGAGCTCATCCCTCACCTTATTCAGTGCCTCTCTGATAAAAAGGCTCTTGTGCGTTCCATAACATGCTGGACTCTTAGCCGCTATGCACACTGGGTAGTCAGCCAGCCCCCAGACACGTACCTGAAGCCATTAATGACAGAATTGCTAAAACGAATCCTGGATAGCAACAAGAGAGTACAGGAAGCTGCCTGCAGGTAGGACAGATTCATATCACATATTTTGGCCAGAACAATTTTATAATTGCTTTCACCTGATGATTTTGTAAATCTAAAATGTAATTAGACACCTGTCTTTGCAGTTTCTTTCCTTTCTCAGGGACTGTGATAACAGTATTTTCACTCTAAATCCTGTGAGAGAGATTTGGAATGATAACAAGGATATTATTGTTGTTCGGTGCCATTGACCCTATGAACAACAGGCCTGAACCCTGTCCTGTCCTCTTAGTCTACCTGGTTGAGGGTCTTCCTCTCTTTCACTATCCTTCCACCTTTTCAAGCATGATGCCCTTCTCCAAGAAAATATCCTTTCCTGGTAACATGTCCAAATTATACAAGATGAGTCATCATCCTTGTCTTGAAGGAGCACTCTGACTACATTTTTCCCATAACCAGGACACTGCTCTCAAAAAAGAAAAATGACATTTGAACAGATTAACAGGCCTTAGTCTGCATGTCAGCTACCTTAACTCATGACTGATTTGACTGTATCACCTGTGACATTCAGATGCTTAGTGGATCTACTAGGGAATTATCTCTTTTTTATCAGACCAGTGTTAGTTTTTTTATGACAAATGAAGCAGGAGTGGCATCCACTTCCGAAATGACTTGCTTCCGGAAACTATGAATGTGAAGAATTGACAAAAGTTGTACAAGTGTTCAGGTATTTTGTTCATAGAGTCGCTATTAATCGTTAAGTCGCACTTAACAACATAGAGAGGGCTCTTTTGGCCTAGTGGATAGAAAGTTATGCTGTAAAGCCAAAGGTGAGTGATTTTAATCTGAGGCCTTCAGGCCTGGTTTTAATGGGTCTTGGTCAAACATTCTTCTAAGTGGTATACTTCTAGTCCGTCCATTTGCCATGCAGAGGTAACTTGTGGTTGCTGTGAAGCTGAATACTGTGATGTTGATGTGTCAAATGCGATAATGGTTACCCATGGCGGACAGTGTTTGATGGAGTTTCCCGATTAAAACAAGCTTGAAAGCAGGAGTGGATGTGTTCATAGGGTCGTTATGAGCCGGCACTTAACAACAATATTCTAGTTTCCTAGAATAGACTAAACAGTCATCACCGCTGTTGGTGATCCCCACTCATGGCAGCTGCTCTTAGGTGGAGAGTTTTAGTCTGTTCATCTTTCTCCTACAGAGCACCTGTTGAGTCCAGATTATCAAGCTTTCGATTAGCAGCCCAACACTAAACCATCATGGTTCTTGCATATTATAAAAGAACTTGTTAGCAATGATTGTAGCTGTTAATTCTTCAAATAACTTTTTATTACTGGCTTTTTTGGTACACTCATTGCCAAGAAGTCAGAATTGAGTCATAGCTGATCTTCCAGAGGATTTTCAGAGACTAGAAATCAGTTGCACTGGAGGAGATTTGTCCATCTTTCTCCCAAGGAGCAGTTGGTAGATTAAAACTTTTCAGTTGACAGTGCAGCTTCTTAACCACTAGGCTACCAGAGTTCCCTGACATTGTTAGGAAGAAATGAAAACAGGAGAGAGTGTAAGTCATGCTCTCTTAACCAAATCTGTAATAGTGGTATCTGAAAGAGTTCTGATTCTTAATGGGGTCGAAGGAGGACAGGAGGTACGTGGTAATTAACAACACTAAATATTTAAAATGGCAGACATCAATATATATAGGTCATGATTCAGTTTCTATGGTTTATTAAGTCAGGGGGAAAAATATTTAAGCATTTCTTGTTCAGGATGAATATATTAGGTGCTTGGCTTTACCATCTCATCCAGGTTAGCTTTTACAGGCTAGTTGTAAGAATGAGTAACAACTAGCTTAAATTAAGTCATTTACCATCTCTTCCAGGTTATCTATTACAGGCTAGTTGTCATCTAGTACACAATGCTAATGAGTAAAGATGATTAACAAATAATTTAAATCTAACATTTTAGGGAATTCTTGGTTGAGTAGAACACAAGATAAACTTTCTTTTTTTAAATTAAGAGGTAGATATATGTTATAATCAAGACATTTATATCTCTACTTGGATATTGAAGTTTGGGTTTTTTTCCTTTTGTTTCTCTTAAGATATAGCCATAACTAAGGCAAATTTGAATTGTAGAACTTAGAGAGGCTTGAAACAGTGATATTTCTGAGTACTTAAGTATTTCAAACATTCTAATTGCTAAAAAATTTTTTACCATTTTGTGAGTGTGATGTATTTGTGAATGGTGGAATGTAAATTAGAGCCTAACAATTTTGTTTTCCATAATCCAGAACTATTACTATGAAGTTCCCTAATAATGGAGGTTCTTGTTACTTGCTGTACTACCAGCATTCTAGTAATAAAAATAAGTTTCTTGACTCTTTAGAACTGGCAGTATATATTTTAGGTTTTTTAACTTGTAGTTAAGTAGGTGCCAACACAAGAAATAAAAATAAGCATCTGGTAAGGTGATGTGAAGGATTAACGATGTAAAGTGGAGTTGAAATTCTATAGAGACTTCATTTTCTCTCGCTCTCACAAACTCATCCTAATTACTAGTATTTATTCTTTTTCAAAAATTATAGTGCCTTTGCTACCCTAGAAGAGGAGGCTTGTACCGAACTTGTTCCTTACCTTGCTTATATACTTGATACCTTGGTCTTCGCATTTAGTAAATATCAGCATAAGAATCTGCTCATTCTTTACGATGCCATAGGAACATTAGCAGATTCAGTAGGACATCATTTAAACAAACCGGTAAGTATTTGTAATTTCATGATTATGGGGGGACAATACATATTGTGGAAAGTATCTTTAAAAGATGGGGTATTACACACAGAATTAAAAAATAATGGGGCAAAAATGTTTGTTTGAGCAGAGCTTAAAATATGTTAGTGCTAAGAATAAGAGAACAGATGGCTGGAATTGGATTTGTGTACAGAGAATGAAGAATTATGGTTGAATTTAAAATAGCTCAAATTTTTTGCTAAAGCATTACTGTATCAAAAGTCCGAGGCAAGTTTTATATATCCCCCCACACCATCCCCACCCCTCTAAGCTTTAGAAGTACCAAGGAGGCGCGTATTTGGTTTATTAATTTGAATTTTGATGTTTGACTTAATTTCTCTACTCCTTAACTTGATCACTTAAGTGATCCTTAATCTGTTTACCTCTACCAATAAATAGGTTTACTTAATAACTTCTTTCTAAGTTTCAGTGTAAGTTTACCCATCAGTTTACAACATTCTGAAACAAGTCTTGGTTTATGTGAAAGGACTGGAAAGCAAGAAGAGTCTCATCAAAGTAAAACTATACAAAGAAGATTAGCTGCTGCCTTGTGATTTAACAGACTATACATTTTTATGTTCTTGTGTGCTGTTAGGTCAATTCAGGATTACTCCTAACCCTCTCTGGCACAGTAGGACTACCTCTAGGTGGTAGTCTTAAAAATAGAATAAAACTCAAAAGCTCTTTGTTGAGGCACTTCCACCTCTGCTGTAATCCATTAGACTTCTGATAAAGATTTTGTTAAGACTGGTGAAGTCAAACTCTTTACCTTTTGATGAGCAGCATTTTTCTATCAATGATCAGTGCTGCTGCTTTTATGTACTGTTGAATCTGAACCAACTCATAGCTGATCCTCCAGTGGGTTTTCATAGCCTGTAGATTGCATGGGAGGACATGGGCCAGCTTTCTCTCTCTCACAGAGCATTTGGTGGATTCCTGCTGCCTTTGGGTTGACAGTGCAACTGCTTTCCTATTAGCTACCAGAGCTCCTAGGTTGTATAGATGGAGAGGACAGAATAAAAAATGAGTCTTAATATCATTCTGTACTGAAGTTAGTTACTCTGCATCAGTCTTAATTTTCATGGATTGAAAATGGACTTGTTTACATGTAATAGAGCTTCGTTTGTTTTTCATCATTGTAAATAGGAATATATTCAGATGCTTATGCCTCCACTGATCCAGAAATGGAACATGTTAAAGGATGAAGATAAAGATCTCTTTCCTTTACTTGAGGTAAGGTAAACATCTAATGTTAACATTAAATGCTTATATTTTGCTATGTGATTGTGTTTCACAGAAATATATATATATTTTTATTAATGTTAATAACGTATCTTGAGCACTTTTCATACCACTTTTTCATTTGTGTATGTCTCTGGTGGTGTTGTGTACCTTCGAGTCAGAACTGACCCATAGTTGACCCTCCAGCAGATTTTCAGAGGTCGTAAATTGCACAAGAGGAGATTGCCCATGTTTGTCCTGTGAAACAGCTTGTGGATTCAAACCCATTCATTGTCTTTGGGTTGTCAGTGCAACTCATCACCCCTAGGCCACCAATATCATGATTAGCATATAGATTAAGTTTGTTACATAGACACTGCACCTATATGTGAAATAAAATTGAAGTTCGGTTATAGGAAAGAGGGATTTTATTTTTTACTTTGTCTTGTTTCCCCATTCCCCCCCCCCCCCCATACACGTTTTCATACAGGCACTTGGAGACACTGTTTTCCATTTCAGACTACTATTATAGAGCTAGTTGTGAATTTATTTACACTATACTGTAGTCTTTTAAGTGTGTAGTAGTATTATAAAAAGGCTTAAACTGTTGTGGGAATTACCAAAATGTGACATAAACAACAAGTGTGCATAAACTGTTGGAGATGAACCAAAAGGTTTGCTTGGTATAGATTGCCACAAGTCTTCAAATTACTTAAAATTCTCCCTATGAAGTACAATACAGCAAAAGCATAATAAAATTAAATGTTACCTCTATTCCTTTCTCCTCCTCAACCATTTTTTAGGTGTTTTGTTTGCTTGTTTTTAAAAAAGACATTTTATGTGACCTTTAAGTTACTGAACATTGTACTGAGTTAATTTAGAGATAGTTAGATTAACATTGTGGAGCAATTCCAATTCCTGTCCTCCTTGTTCCCTCTTTGATTTCAGGGGTAATAAACATCTGCTATTTATTGTCCCTAACCAGAGAAGTAGAAGCTTTAGTGCCTGACAACAATGACTAGTTTTGGACCCAACAAAACAAATTTCATAATGAGTCATTTTATATACTGTTTCAGGCAGAACCTGAGAATCTATCTATCCTGTAAATCTGCCAGCATGGGGCATGAGTTGAGTGCCTCTTTTAAATTTGAGGAAAAATAGAAACATACAAATTTCTAATCTGTCCTTTAAGGATAATGTTTGTTATAGGAGCTTTGAACATTTTCATTAAAATATGTTTCTCCTTGACTGACCTGGCCAATTTAACAGCAGCAAAAGGCATTCAATAAAGAAATTAAAAGATAAATCTTCCTTAGACTGGTAGACCAGGATCTTGGTACAGACTCAAGTGTTAACTATAATCTTTTAACTTGTTACTGACTTCGCTGGCCCACTAGGTTTTCAGAAGCAGTAAATTACATGGGAGGAGATTGCCCATCTTTCTCCCATGGAGCAGCTGGTGGATTCGAACCACGTGCCTTCGGGTAGGCAGTACATCTACTTCCCACTAAGATCACCAGAACTACCTAATCTTTGTACTATACCAAAAAAAACTTATTACATGTACATTATTCTTTTCAGTGCCTATCTTCAGTTGCCACGGCCCTTCAGTCTGGCTTCCTTCCATACTGTGAACCTGTATATCAACGTTGTGTGAACCTCGTGCAGAAGACTCTTGCACAAGCCATGGTATTTTGGGGCTTTTATGTCTTTTGTTAGCATTATATATATATATATATATATATATATATATATATATATATATATATATATAT